GCATATTCGGAGGTTCTTGGTGCGAGTCCCGTGTCGGGCCAAATTTAGCTATTGATTTTTTCTGTCTAAAAGTTCTCAATAACAGCCTGGAGTCGGGAAGTTTCACCTCCGTGCCTGATCTCTCACAGATCGTGTTGTATTCTCATCGGCGTATGAAAGTGACTGTGAATAGAGAGAGCACTCGTGTTTGCGCGCAAACTTATGCACTATAATATCGAAACAGAAATCAGTAGGACATTATTATCATGTAATATGTGTATTGGGCACGAGCCCTCCTCTTAATGGGAGGTTGATGACGTAGTCATAACATATAATTGTACATTGTTCGTGTCGATATCAGAGATCAAAGATTTCGTACATAATCAGCACGTATTTTGTGTGCTCAGAAGGGAGTGTTACGAGTAATTTATTTCGTTTTTATCACAAATTTTGTTAAGGCAAAAAGCGACATGATTTGATGATGATGATGAAAAATCATTTATCATGGATGCATGCGTGAAGTAAATAATTATTACTAGAGAAAGACTTTTGCACTCAAATAATTAGGAAATTTCGTATATGAAATGCATTTATAGGTAAACATTGAGATATTGCCAGAAAAAATATTGATTGTTTTGAACATATTCAAAAAGTTTTTAAGCATACGTAGCCTAGAACTGTACAGCAGTCGTTAAGAATAAATGAAACCCTAAACAAGCTTGTGAATTCTATTCTCTAAAAATAAATTAACTTTTAATCCCCCTGTCACTTATTGGTAATCAAGGACACTCGATCGTTTTAACCGTTTAACATTGCGTAAAAATGCTGCATCGAATGAAGTATAAAAAGTAGACAAAGATGTGTGTGTGTCAGTGTTTACGATTAGTCACGAACTTGATTCTTAACATACGTTATGTTGGTACTCATAATTATAAAATCGTAATTATTTACAATGATACTATGTATTTAAATGATCTAAACTAGTATATAATCCTTACAAATATTACAAATGTGTGCTTGTGGGATCACGTGCAAAAAGCAACTTTTTAGCTCATGAAGAGTAAAAATAATTTAGTTGGAGCCTAACACTTTGAAAGAAAATAATCAGGGCACAGCTCGTATATTGCTTGAATTATTTGTATGTTCGCGCGCGTGACATATGGACTAAGATCCGGCTGCAAAATTGCTACATTCATAGAGTATTTAATCAAAATCATTTTTGTTATAAACAATAATATAAGGGACTATATGTTTTGACCGGGGTGCCTATTAAAATGTGCTCACTAATATGTTTAATTAAATTAATAATAATTGACTTTTTGGAACAAAATCAATGCACTCGTTATTAAAATGAATTATACTCCACTTCACAGAAATATACGTAGGGATCTTGAAAAGTGATAGCTGCCGTTGCGCACTTGGCCGCAATGTCTTCGCAGCCAGGTGTAAGCAGGTCATATTTTGTTATATTTATACGTTCATGGCGTATATTCATTATTTATGTATCTAATTAAAGCTATTTTTTTCTGTGCGTGATAAAATACCTCTGCCTATGTAAAAGTGGCCGTATATAGTGGTTACTAGCTTTTAAATATAGATTAAAGTGAACGAAAGTTAGTGCATTAGTTAACCGTTTGTTGCCATGGTATCCATTGTTATTGTCTGACAAATGATATATAATATTATATTCTTTCCTTCTTTTCTTTCCTTTTCGAATTGATTTTGATTAAATACGTACGTAGCAATCTTGCAGCCGGATCTTGATACCATAAGTAAGGAAATACTTTGAACTTATTTTTTAATTTGTTTACGTAAAATGGTTGAGTAGATGAGACTTAACTTTTTGATTGTAGTTCGCAAATTTAGACCATTAATGTTGCTAGTATAACATTGGAATAATCTTGGAAAATACCTCATAACACAAAAACTAGTTGTACCGGATAAATGAATGAATAAAACTTTATTTATGATGAGCAAATAAAATATTACATATACGTTATACAGAAGCACTAGAAATAGACATCATAAAACAAGTCTCAATAAAATAAATGATATGCTTTACATTACTATAATTTAATCGAGGTGCTAGTAGTCCTCAAATTAAACAATACAGGAACAAAATACGTTGAAACGTAAAACAAAGTTACACTACACTTTAATTATCGTTTATTTATAAAAAATGATTTTCTATACGTATGTATATAATATTATGATATCTAGTATATACGTTTTTTTATTATTTTTAATGGTATTCATTGACAAACGAGCAAACAGCCCACCTGATGGAAAGCGGTACCTGTCGCCCATAAAACCTACGGTATTTGAACTTAGGTTTTATTTTACAAAAATACAGAACCGCAGGTGCGTTGTCACTCTGAGGACTAAGATGATAAGCCTCTTGCCTGTAATTGCGCTGGCTACCTTATCCTTCAAACCGTAAATAAGTTGTACAATGTACATAATGTACTTACTTTTCGTTACTCAAAATATGTGATAAAATTTAAGACTGAATGGAAATAGTATGAAATATATTTTATTGTTCTATATTTACATCTTCATAAAGCAACTCGCTCGTCACGACTCATTCTTAAGAATTAGTCACCTTTTATAGCCTAAAAGTCTATTAGCTTTGTATCTTTATCTAACAATAACTTTGTAGAAGCTTATTGTTTGACGAAACCGTAACGAATTAAATATTGTTTTTCATCCTTTAGTTTCTGTTGTATTAAAAATGTTAAATTATGACTTCCAACAAAGCGAAAATATAAATTATTCTTGACAATTTTGCTCTACTTCAAGAAATATCGTTAGTAATATATCTTTCCTTTTGTTTCTATATATAGCATTAATCTGTAACGACTTTGAAACATTACAAATCACTTTAGTAATTGTGAATGGAATAAGCGAATACACGTGCCACTTCGACAAATCGATGCAACAATTTATTTGTCAAGTGGGTCTTGTATGTTAGGCGTCATAGCTATTAATTTTCATTTTTAGGGTTCCTTAGCCAAAAAGTAAAAATGGAAGCCTTATCATTATCGTCATGTCACTGCCATTTTACTGGGAAACTCTTGGAGCTATATTGCTGTTTGATAAGTAGGAGTCATGTGAACCGCTTGCTAATTATGCATTTATTAATTATTTTACGAAAAATTATAAGGATGACATTTCGTACATATTAATTACTAAGGGATGAAAATGAATTTTGGGTCTACATAAGCTTGTATCTTTGGATAGGTTATTAAAACTGAGATAGGTCTTTCTAAGTGAAGTTTATATTTGCAGTCGATAAAATGATTAATTTTGACGGGTAAACAGGTATTTCAAGGGAACCATCGGTGCGCGAGTCAGACGCGCGCTTTTTATGTTCAATTTACTTTGGTGATTTGTTTTTTGTTATTTTTGTAATAAAAAATTCCAAAAAAAACTGTGATGATGATGATGTAAATTTAAGTACTCAATTATCAATCATGAATCATCAAGTAAAAATAAATTAAAAGTTACTGTCAAATAAATTAAAGTAGCTGAATTGTATCACTTTGCTATTCAGTATATAATTTAGATACTCGATGCATCATATGATAGAAAAATTAGCCCTTAAGTATCAAGACCCCAAGTACAGCATATTAGATGTGTAAAAAAAGAAGCTGTGCTCAATTTTTAGTACAATTACCACCCTTTGACACAGTCAATACATAAAAGCCTACACAATGTAATAGCACCGGAAGCAGTGATATGCAAAACGTTTGCGTAGAGTGAATATCTCCAAAAGGGCTCGTCGACAAAAACCCCCTGAGATTTGTGTACGTATGGCCACGGTTGAGCATCTCGAGCATCCTTATTATGAGAGCCCTTTGTCCTTTACCACGCAAATAGGTTGTTGCGTCCCTTTTAGACGCGACGTCTCGTTCCATACGAGACTACATGCACGAATGAGTAATTGCCCATTGTCTGACACATTTTGCGAACCAATTTTTGTATTTCTCCTTAATTGTTAAGTATAGTGAAAGTGCGAATCTGATAGCAACTTCAAATCTTGTTGAAAACTTAATGTAATTTGGTCGCTTTTAGTTGTGTTTGTGCGGGCTTAACTTTGTTAAACTGTAAATTAACATGTTAAACTGTAAATTAACATGTTAAACTGTAAATTCGAATACAATTATAATCACTAATTTGTGAGAAAGTAATAATAAAACTATAAACTAGGTGTAAATTCATTACTTATATTTTGACTATGACGAAACTTTTACGTGTGAACAACTTTTATCAATTAAGTAAGTTCGATAACAAGCGAACATGGCTTATTTATTATTTAATCAAGTTGTCTCGACGTGGGCCGTACCTGCGAAATACCACCGTTTGTAGTTTTTGAGTAGTTTCAGCTACGGCTAGAGTCGACCATATTGATCGTCGTTCAAGGCAACGGCACCGCAAGGCCGATGCCTATGTATGTAATTTAATATTGCTGTATCTGTGAATTATTTACCATGTAAATTAATTTAAATATAGAACTAGATTCGACTCTCTCGCCTAATCTTGTGTTTGTGTATACATACTCGTATATAAAAATACATAAAATAGAAGTGTCTGTTTCTGACTTCATTCTTCAAAAGTCATTGAAATCATTTTTGTAGAAAATAAAATTTCGCATCTTTTTTTTCCTGTAAAATTTCTTTGTAAAACTTACCGTTTACAATTTATGGACCATTTTATAGAACATTTTTTCTATCTCAGCCGATAACTCTTAAAATATTTAATTAATCAATAAAATGCATCTATCCATTTTTAAATATCCATTTATTCTCTAAAACTTTTGTTTAAAACTTTTTTCTAATGTCCATACTTTTTACTAGGTTTTTACTAGGTACCAATCATATTTACCTATTAGATTTAAAATATGGTCGGCTGGCACCGACTTCGAAGATATCTGATTAGGTATCTACTCTAAATGAAAACCCCCGTTTAGTTATTTTTTACATTTTAGTGCCTGGAAGTCAGATTATACATATTTGTTTCAGACGGACGGCGGCTTGCTTCTCAAACAAGTGGGTGTAGACGACGAGGGTCTGTACGAGTGCAGCGTGGAAAACGAAACAGCCTACATTGATAGAGTCAATCTTACAGTAAGAAGTAAGTGTATTATTCTCTTACGGTCTTACACTGATGTTAATTTACGAACAGCGAGCCTAGCTGGATTTCGCATCAGCAAAAAACAAAAGCTGTCAATAAAATAGTCATACAAGTCATTGTTTAATAATTAAACAATATTGATACCTGCTAATTATGTGTATACTGTATAAAGTCCTTATTTGAATTACATCGTTCGAGAGAAAAACTTTTTTAATTTCATCCAATTTCATAATATATTTTTTTTATTTTTAAGTACCATTTATGTTAAACGAGCTAATGAGCTAATGTATGTAGAGATTATTATCGAATAGAATGTAGAAAAAAGAAATGAATGTCAAGCAAAATAACAAAATCATAACTTTTTTCACGATTTCTCTACTCTTATTCTTATAACATAACATTTGTATGTATACTAGCGACTCATTTCGTATTCGTGTAAGCTTTAACGGTTAAAATCTAATAGCAAAAAGAATTTTTCAAATCGGATTAGGTATTTAATTCCTATATATGTACATTATACAAACAAACTACCTCTTTTTAATAATAAGTATCAATAACATTCCTAGGATAACATATACCTACTATATAATATATTTCTGAAACTTAACGCTGTTCGTACTATATATATATATATAGTATCAATGAACTATTTTAGTTCATTCCACACGAAATTTACTTTTACGAAAATAATAAAAGTGAACTCATAGAATATTAATAACTAGTCGCAATACGCTGCTTCGTGAATGTGTCATTTTGGAAGCTTTTAGATACTACGAGTACTAGGAACGAATCCGAGCGGAGCGAGGGTGAGTTACGTTTTAACGTTTAGTGTAGATTTCTCATGGATAAGATATTTTCCCGCAGTAAAAAGTATTCTATATGTTGACCCGGTTGAACCAGCTACCATCATTACCAAATTTCATCAAAATTCCTACAGTGGTTTTTTCGTGATGCGGTAACAAACAGACAGACAGACAAAAATTCAAAAAGGTATTGATTCGGCCTCTGTATTGATAATAATGTCTATTTCAATAAGATTTTCCAAAAAATATTTAATGTACAGATTCGGCTTAGTTACAATTTTATTTTATTTTTTTATGTACCAGAAAAAAAATATACAAGTGAAAACAGATACCATGTGTACAAAGGATGACTTATCTTTTTAAGAAATCTCTACCAGAAACCATCAAGCGTGAGTAAATATAAAAATAATAATGCGGTCCGGTGTAGGTACAAACTACAAACATCAATTATAATATAAATATACACATATACAAACATACATACATGTTTACATAGATACATACATATATATATATATATATATATATATATATACATATGTATATGTATATACATACACATACTTCATAATAAGGATATCATGTGGAGTCACTTAGATAAAGTTCTTTTAAGCGAGATTTGAACAGTTTTAGTGATGGATTATCATTTGTAATCTTATCGGGAAGGGGGTTCCAGAGTTTTGCTGCTTGTACTGTGAAGGATTTCTCATAAAAAGTAGTGTTATAAGAAGGTATGTTAAGCTTTTTTAACCTAACACAGGGGCGTACGGGTCTTGAGCTTGGGATCGATAGCTGAAATCGCTCGCGTAAGTACGTAGGAGAAGAATTACTTAAAATAGTACACTATTAACGTCATAAGTATATGCTTATTCCGGTGAAGGCGAATAGGGAACCACTTCAGTCGGAGACGAAAGTCCCTTACATGATCCATGATGATCCAGTTTTATTATATTTATAGATTTTAACCGATTCTAATAACGACCCTTGACGACCGAACAACCCGTTTTCACCTTGATATGGTCCTATATGCATGGCCCCTATAGTCTTTGCTAAGATAAGTAGATACTTTGTAGATACAAACCAGACAGAACCGTACGCATTTTTTTACTTCTTATATAAACTATGAACTTTTTTTACCTATTCAAAAAAAACCATAAATACCCAAACTTGGCCATATTACATACATATATTGTATACTTAAAATTGAATCATGTAATCTGACCATATCTACACAAGAGTCAATATTCAGGTTACATGATCCATTGATAGGCGCACGAACGGACAGTTACTTAAAATAAAAATAGCCTATAACATTCGCATTCGTATTTTTATTTATATTACCTACAACATTAATTTTCTTCTGCCTATCAATAAAAGTGCAATAAAATCAATCAAAATGGTGAGAAAAAATAATATATTTTGGGATTTATGTATGTACGTATGTTATATTATAGTATATTAGCGACTCACTCTCGCTTCGCTCAGGTTCGTCCCTGGTTTGTTTCCCAATACAAACTTTCATCCCCATTTCCACCCCCTTAAGGGATGATTTCCGGGATAAAAAGTATCCTATGACCTTCCCAGGGTCTCCAACTATCTTCTTACCAAATTTCATCTAAATCGGTTTAGGAGATTCAGAGATTACCCCCTACAACGTGACAAACTCACAAACTTAACCTCTTTATAATATTAGTATAGATGTAGTTTACAAACTCAGCGAAGTTGCTTTTGACTTTTGTTTTGAGGACTTTGTTTTTTTCCGAACTGCTGCTGAGTTTTTAGCAAATTCTAAGTGGTTTTCTAAAAGACTAACGTATAAAGAATCTGATTTTTGAATATTTTACGCCCCACCAGTGAAACTCGAAGCGGCACGTGAAAACGAATATTTAAAAATATAAAATTACTACGCTACTAGCAGAACCGGTAAAGACAAGAAGACCGGAGCAGAAAAGGTAGGTTTCACACAAACATCCATCCCCTTTTTTACCCCCTTATATGATGAATTACGAAAAATGAAACACATATTTATTTAATTTTATTGAAGAACATTAATACCAAGTTTCAAGTAATTCGATCATAAATATTTTTTTGGATTGTAATATTACGTGTTTTTCCGTGGGAATTAAATAACCTCCCGCGGTAAAAAGTTGCCTATGTCACTCTCAGAGTCCAGCCCTCCAACTATCTCCATACAAAAAATCACGCCAATCCGTCACTCTGTTTCAACGTCAAAGAAGGGCAAACAAACATACTTTCACATTTATAATATTTGTATGGAAGTACCTACGGATTACGTCGGTCTATTTCATAAAACTAAGTGCGTGTCGATATCTAGTATCTTTCTACACAGGTTATTATTTTAAATGGCAACACCAATTTTCACCTAAGTTTTTTATTAACCGACTTCAAAAAAAGGAGGAGGTTCTCAATTCGTCGGGGACTTTTTTTTTATGTATGTTCCCCGATTACTCGACGATGGCTGGACCGATTTGTAAAATTCTTTGTTTGTTTGAAAGGGTATAGTTTCTAGTTGGTCCCACAGACACCAAGTCACGATCTGATGATGGGATCCCAGGGAAATCGATGGCAACTCTCAAATTTTATAGGCACTTATTACGTTTTTCATATATTTCCTAAAGCTGTTCAAGTATTTGCGTCTGATAATCATCATCTCCTGTGGTTGAGCTAATGATGGAAGGTACAACTCCTCAACGGTTAGGAGTTAAAAGAAAATTCTTTCAATATTATACGTAATTATAGACCGATAGTTAAATTCTTTCAGGCTCTTATTAACCGACTTCAAAAAAAGGAGGAGGTTCTCAATAACTCCTCAACGGTTAGGAGTTAAAAGATTTTTTTTCAATATAGACCGATAGTCAAATTCTTTCAGGCTATTAGAGTAACCTGATAATAGTAGGTAAATCTCATTCACGAGTACTTTGATCCTATATCGTAACCAGGGTCTGATGCTGGTGCTGGAAGGTGCCCATAGGAACTCCGCAATAAAACAACACTTTATATTAACTTAATTAATTACATTAATTAACTTTACCTTTTTTATATTTGTTACCTCAGAACTTCGTCATTTATTAACCGATTTGGACAATTTTTGTTTTGTTTGAAAGAGTTTACCTCCAGATTGGTTCCACTTAAATTTCAAAAAAAAATACCACCCCTAAGGATGGAAAAATAGCTAATAATGAATTTAACCTACTTCTAATTGTCATATTGACTTGAAACTTTGCAAGTGTTTCTATTTCCGTTGATAGTACAGTGGTTCGGTATTGTTGACCTGATCTGATGGTAAGGCCAGAAGGTGGATAGGTGGAACTCTTCAACGACTAATAGTAGATACTTTGAGTTTGGGCTTATTTTGTTTGGTTTGACAAGCCTAACACTTTAGAATTCTTACTTTGCTACTACTGTCTACACTAAAAAGGGAAAAATAAAAACTTTTTAACAAAAAAATAAAAACCGACTTCAAACAAAAGCACTAAAAAGTAAAAAATAACTGATTGGTAGTTTTCATTTACTATACATACCTAATCAAATATTTTCGAAGTCGGTGTGCTTTGGCTAAGTAATTAAAGCCTATCTATTAAATACATACCTAATCAAATATTTTCGAAATCGGTGCCAGCCCATACAAAGCAAAGCACACCGAATTCGAAAATATTTGATTAGGTATGTATAGTAAATGAAAACTACCAATCAGTTATTTTTTACTTTTTAGTGCTTTTGTTTGAAGTCGGTTTTTATTTTTTTGTTAAAAAGCTTTTTGTATACATTTTATGTGACATAAAATATTAATTACTATATATTTAGCTTCTTATAAAAAGGTGACTCTACTTGGATAGACTTTAAATGTTTATTTCATGGTGTAATAATTAAAACTATTCTTACATGTGACCACAAAATTAATGCGTTTGACCACAAAAATAACTTTTGTTCATAGTAAATACCAACTTTTTTATGTCCATAACAAATATTGTAGATGGATAAATATTTTATTTTACTTTTAACGTAACAAAATAGTAGGTACGTTTCAAAAAACATAAATTTTATGTTTCCTGGTACTGAACCCTTGGTGTGCGAGTCAGAGTCGCACTTGTCCAATTTTTTAAGTAACATTTATCATTATCTTCCCAACGACAAAATATATTTATAAAGATTAAATCTTGTTTAGTACATACAAAC